ATATGTGTGGGTGCGTAATGGCATAATATTTATGAGGAAGACCGATGAGAGTGACTATATTCTGGTAAAAAGTTTAGAAACCCTAAAAAGACTTAGTTAAGTAATTCTTTTTGTTCCTTTCTTTCTTATTGTCTGTTATATAGTAAGGTTTTTAATAAAATACGATACGCTAAAATTGTGCTATCAAAAGTGTAGTGGTCTTAAGACCAAAACACATGGTTTCTATAATCAAATACTATGTAACAACTGTGAAATAATGATACTCACTGAGACCTGGCTAAATAATTTCGAGTAGTGAACTTTTTGACCCTAGATATGTAGTACATAGGAGAGATAGATCTTCTGCCAGTAGTACTAAGAAAGAGGGAGGGGTGGTTCAATAACGGTGTCTATGAAATTAAAATCAAAGCGTTTAAAAGCTTGGGAGTCGGATCTGGAGGATTTATGGGTTTTAGTCGAAGCGCCAGTTTCACACTCAAATTTGCTATCAAATTGCTTTCTGTGCCATTTATTTACCATTTCCAATAAAAAGTGTTACTTATGATAAATTTTGTGACACATGTACTAGCGTCCTGGAACAGAAGTGTCTACATTGTATAGTGGTTGATTTTAATCGATTTGCCATAAATTGGAGCTTGTTAGATGAGCATCCTGCGAAATGCGAGCTTTCCACTGTTAGTCAGTCATTTATTGATTTTTTAAACGTCAATGATTTGAAGCAGTACAGTCGTATAAAGAATCAGAGTTTAAATAGAACACTTGATTTGGTTATTGCAAATTTACCAAACTGCACAGTAGAACAGGCACTTTGCCCCCTCAGTAAAGTTGACAGGCACCATCCTCCTCTTGACATAAGTATTAAGCTATTGAATGAAATAAGATTACCTTATAACACTGAAAACGTATAATTAAATTTTTATAGAGCTGACTAACATAGTATTTGTAAAGAATTAGCTAGTTGTGATTGGGTCAAGCTACTTGATGGGTTGACAGATGTAAATAATATGCTACAAATTTTCTACCAGAAAATTCAGGATATTATCAAAAAATTTGTCCCTAATAAATCGTCAAAGAACAACAACTACCCAACCTTGGTTTGATCGGAATCTAATTAGAACTCTAAAAGAAAGGTATAAAGTTAGGTGTCATCACAAGAAATATAAAAATCCTAGAGATGAGCTTGAACTGCAATTGCTAAGTAAAAGATGTACGCATATGGCCACAAATTGCTACAACAAATATATAAAACTAATATAGTGTGACATAGCAAAAAAACCCAAAACTGTTTTGGTCTTTTATCAAGGCGAAACATGGTGGTCCAGGCGCCTATCCCCTATCAATGACTGACGGTACGACGGTAACTTCTGATGGATTAGAAACTTGCAAACTTTTTTCTTCACACTTTTCATCCGTGTACTCTAAAAATAATAAATGTACAGAACAGGATTATGTTTATGACCATCCAGAGTCCTTGAAATTAATTGAAATTAATAGGCTTCACCTAGCACAGCTAAAATTGATCATGATACTATTAAATAAATTAAAAAGCATTAAATGTAATAAAGGAGCAGGTCCTGATGGAATTCCTCCAGTGTTTGTAGTCAGATGTGCTGAACACCTTGTTAATCCACTATTAATTATATTCAATTTTTCTCTTTATACTGGTCAGTTTCCTACTCTATAGAAAATAGCTAAAATCGTTCCGGTTCATAAAACGGGCAGTGAGGATTATGTAAGAAATTACAGGCCGATCTCTATACTATCAGTCTTTGCTAAATTATTAGAGTCAATTATTTGTCCTTATATTCAGAGACAATCTTTACTTAACCACTAGCCAACATGGTTTCATTAAATCTAGGTCTACGAGCACTAATTTGGTACATATTACGGAAATACTAATTGAAGCACTTGATACGGGAAAACAAGTCGACGTAATATATACTGATCTTAGCAAAGCATTTGATCGGGTCCCACAAGACATATTGGTTCGTAAGTTAGCTGCCTACGCCATTAGTGGTAGTATGTTAAAATGGCTAAAATGGTATTTAAAGGACCGAGCGTTTTTTGTAGTGGTGAATGGATATCAGTCAGATTTAAAAAATATTAATTCTGGTGTGCCCCAAGGGTCTCATCTTGGATCTATTCTGTTTGGGGTGTTCGTAAATGAAATTCCATAATTGATGAAATGGTCTCATGTGTACTTGTATGCGGATGACTTAAAAATTTGCAAACCGATTTTGGAAGAGAAAGATTCAATAAAGCTACAGTACGATTTTGATCAACTGCTTAAATGGTGCAAAGTAAACCGTATGGACTTAAACATTAGTAAATGTTTCTATGTGCAATATGCGAGAAAAAGTAACACTATCGACTATAACTATCACATTGGATGTAATAAATTACAGCAGTTACACCAAATTGGATGGAATCGGGTCGGGGTCATATTTCATAAAAAATTAACTTTTGTACCCCACATTGAAAACATTACTAAACGTGCATCTAGAATGTTGGATTTTGTCATAAGATATATCAAAATCCTTCGAAGTCCTAAAATTATTTTTTTTTATTTAACAGTTTGGTAAGAAGTATATTAGAGTACTGTGCTGTAGTCTGGAGACCTCATTACGCTACACATTCACTGAGAATCGGACGGATCCAAAAAAGATTTATAAGACATTTGTCATACGCCAGCGGATTTAGAAGTAATAAGAAGTGTGTATCATATGAAAATAATTTGATTAATTTCAAAATGATTTCTCTAGAAAACCGCAGAGATATTATTGATTTGATTTTTACTTTTAAAATTATTAGTGGTGTTATTGACTGTCCTGAAATTTTAAGTAAATTTAATATATGCGTTCCCTTTCGTTACCCGCGTTACGCTCGTAAGATTACACCATTAACTAGACCATATCGAAAACAGTTTTCAGCTCCAATTCTCCAATTGCTAGAATGAGTAAACTTGTTAACTAATTTAGAGATAAAATTGATATATTTTTCGACCCACCTAACAAGCTCCGTCGCACCTTAAGAGACCATCTTTTATAACATTCTATAAAATATGTTCTTTCCTTTTCGCTTCTATATATTTTTATTTGTATTTAGTTATGATTAATTAATTTTAAATCTTTCTTTAACCTAGTAATATAGGTACACAGTGCTGCGAAAGTTATTTGCATGTTGTATCTGCCTGTAATTATTTGTACATTTTAGTTCTTATCGCTTCATTGTATTTAAGTAGCATGTAAGGAATGATACAAATGTTGGTGGATCAATAATAAAAAAACCAAAATGTAAATAATTACATACTCTAAATGAACCATATCGATTTTTCAAGAATCAAATATTGTACGTTCCCATTTTTTGGTGGGCATGCTTGGTGTAATAAGTCTGACAGCTGTCAAAATGTATTTCTTAGATTTGGTTGACTATAAGTCTACATGAATTTATATGCTTCTAGCAAATTACAATATAAAACGTTCTACTGATAGTTACTCGTATTAGTTCGACTTCGTTGTTAAGGAAGACTGATATATAGAGTTAATTTACTATAAGTAAATTCACGCGACTTCTAATAAGGATAATCAGCACGATTTAATGAAGATTACCAACACTCAGTTTAAATTTTTAAATAATACCAGTTTTTACGGATTTTATCGCGTATATTTAACTTTTTAAATACCCGACGTTTTGAGCGCTTTACAGCGCTCATAGTCACGGGGAGGAACTGAGATATTCAAGGTCCAGATGTCATAGTTAACCGCAGTAACCATAGATTAAAATTTAACTTTTGTTCCGATCTACATAGTATGAACTTATGGTATCTTAATGTCTTGCAGTTGTATGCTTGGGTTGGGTTTTAATTTTATTTATTACAGGATCCCAAGCAGATGGTAGCAACTAGCCATCTTCTCTATTGAAATTAGGATGTTTTATGATTTCAGTAGCTTCGCGAATCATCCTTGGAAGAAATCGGTGTTCTTTAGCGAGGATTTGTGGTCTATCAAATCTGATGTAGTGACGGGGGCGATCCTGTACCTGTTCACAGACAGCAGACTTCCCGGAGTCTGTACATCTACAAAATATCAGAGTACAAGTGGTAAAATTAAAAATTTTGTACATTCGACTTCAATATAAATAAAACGAGAACATCATCAATGTAGTCAAATTTAATTATATACGCATTATTAAGGATAACTCAAAAACTATTGGTCAGATCTTGATAAAATTTATACGGGACCAGCTTTCCAATAAAAAAAGAATCATCAAATCGGTTCGCCTAGAAAAAAGTTCTGAGGTAACACACATTAAAAAAATACAGTCGGAGTGAGGACTTCCCCCTGTTTTTTGAAGTAGGTTTAAAATGGCTGCTTAATGCACTACTGTGTTTTTTGGTAATTGTAGAGAACCAGAAACCCCTTTTACTGGAAACAAGGCATTCTTTATGGCAAGGCATATCTTAGCCCTCACGAATGACAACGCATCTGCATTTTGATTCATAATCGAGGAGAGAAGTGACTATGTGCTTGTTTGCCATCCTTATCCTATAGAAAAACTCCTTGTCTGAAGCCTCGGCCCATGAGCTACCACGGCTAGTAACCACATGGCTAAAAGCCCAAACGTCAGACGTATTTTTTTATAGGATAAGGTGACAAACAAGCACACAGTCCATCTGATGTTGGAGTGGTTGGAGTGTTGAAGTGGTTGCTGTGGCCCATAGACCTCTACGTGTATCCTCGATTACGAATCAAAATGCAGATGCGTTGTCACCCGTGAGGACTAAGATGGAATGCCTCGTTTCCAGTAAAAAAAGTCTCCGCTTCTCTACACTCTCCATACGAAACACAGCAGCGTTAAGCTGTTATTTTACGCTGGTATCCTGCGCGAGTGTGGTCCTTCTCCGGTCGAGCCGACCCATTTGTGTTGCAACTATACTACTAATATAACTGCAGCATGACATACTAATATAACTTGTATCTTTTCTTCCAGGCGTCGGTAGAATGCACCTACCAACGAAACACACGCCCCGCTCGCTACAGTTATGGCTTACGCGGTTCGCTATCATGGTCAGGATAAAGCTGCACGAACCGTTACTAAAGGAGGCAGAGCCATTTGGCGATCTGAGCAAACCTGACATGTTCTATCAGGTTTGGATACTTCCTTCTTCATCAGCCTTGTAAGTCCAATTGTATACATATGGGCCTCTCCTTTCAGAAAGGATTTGGTGAATTCGCTATGCTTATGGCTGGCGGGTTAGCGAATACAATACCAGCCTTCTTGCCCCCGTTTTGCTATGTTTCACCTCTTGTGACTACACAAGATTCCATACGTGGTAGAGTCACGCTGCAGGTATATTATGATTGTAGCACAAATGGGCTGGATCGGCCAGGGAAGGACCACGCTCTCACACAATACCGCGTAAAATAGCAGCTTCATAGTGCTGTGTTTCGTATTGTGAGTGTAGAGATACAGAGACCCTTTTATTGCAAATGAGGCATTCCATCTTAGTCCTCAGCGCTAATAACGCATCTGCGTTTTGATTCTTAATCGAGGATACATTTAGATGTCTGTGGGCCACAGCGTCTATTTACCATCAGGTGGACTGTGTGGTTGTTTGTCACCCTTATTCTATAAAAAAAACACAGGCTATGAAATCCTTCTCTTGATTCAAATTGCCTCCACTTACCACATTTCCGAAATAAATGGGATGATAGATTATTTCACACGCTCAGCGCCATGTGTATTGTTGATGATACATGCTGTCAAACATTGTGTATCGTTCACGATACACAGCCTACCTTTTGGTTTTCGCCTTGTGTATCCCTAATGCACACGCTTTCTATACATTTTCTACTGCTAAAAATCCTCTGGCCAAGGAGAGTTTTTAGTTGTTTTGGGTTGGGGATGGGTCATATGGTTCTTGAGATATTGAAGATTTAATTTGGAAGAAAAAAAATTGTTTTACACTAGTTTTATTTATAAAAAAATCAAAATTATAAACACATTTCTTACAACTAATAATCATCTTTAAAAAGGAAAAACTTCCGGTAATCCTCTTCTAACCATGTTTGTAAAAAAAAATCTTAGGAATATAAATTCTATGAATATTCTGTTCTAGTGAGTTTTATTGAAACATTTTCGACATAGAAATATATCACAAGTAGAGCACTTCGTTCCAACCTGTGCTGCTCTAACCTTCAAACAAAAACCCCATCAAAGCAACCGCAGTTTTTATTACTTGTATTATTTCCTCCTGACGCCTCTTACGACATCCACGGGACCATATGGCGTAGTGGATTATCTTAAAGTCCGTTGTAAAATAAATAATAAAAACAAAAAATTTAATAAATATTCTAACTACCTCTTGTCACCTTCTGTCAAGTAACTCGCGAAATCGTAAGTCTTTGAACGAGGCTGCTGATATGGTGTGTGAGCATGAATGGTATTATTACAATGATAATTTACAGTTCTATCCTGATACGCACGAGAATCGAACCGGTTCCCTTGTACCGTTTTTGAGGTTAAAGCCAGAAGAGGCCATGGACAGGCTGTACACGATGTTATACAGAAGGTAAGAAGGTTTATATTCACTAGTATTAATTTTTTCTAAATGGGGATCCACATGCAAAGCTAATCGTAGTGGGCACCAGCGGCGCCGTGGCTGCTGTCAAATTGTTGTAGATTATTTTACATAAAGAGATTTTGCTTTTCTTTGTATTGAAACTGGTTAACCATCGATAATTTTAAGATGTATTGTTCCTGGAAGCTTAAAGAATTGAAAGATGAACTAAAAAAACGAGGAGTGAAGATAACTGGAAAGAAAGCAGATCTTGTTGAGAGGTAGGCTTGTATCTACTAAAATATTATAAAACTGTACACTTATATAAAAGTTAAAGATTTGGAGCTAGTTTTGATTGAAACGTGTTAATTATTTCTTGATTAATGTTAGGAAAATTTACGAATAATCAAAGAACATTACTCTAATGATAAATGGTATTTTTTGCTCTTAGGTTAGAATCATATGACCGAAATTTTAATTTCGGCAATCAAAGCCCTCTAGCTTCTCAAAGTCAAGCAATTGATGTTCCTGCTGTTGAACTTTACCAGGACGTTAATAGCTCCACGATATTGCCAAAGATTACCAAAAAAGATATTCAAAGTTATTTTGATAGGTTGGTAATAATTGTTTCTAACGTTTTATGTAAACATTGAAGATTATTTGCTCACTAAGTTTATTAAATTGTGGTTATATACTTTCTCTTGATATTTAACATAATACTTTTATTTCAGATTCAATAGAAATATCAGTGATGCTGTAAAGTTGTATGAATCGAGATACTTTCTTATTTTACGATCAACAACATTTTCCCAAGATACATACATTAAAGGTAGGTTCACCAGATAATTAAGGTTGATATATCAAAAATAAATAGATAGCTAGGCTAAAATTGATGTGTAATATATTTGTCTTTTAAATATGAACATATAAATACTTCTTCCAGGATTTTGCAAGGCATCTATGAAACAACTACAACATGAGGTAAACATCAAATTAAATAATGATGGAATTTCTGAATGTGCAGCAGGAGAAGGCAAAGAAGCCCATTGTAAACATATAGCTGTGGTACTTCTTGCTGCTGAGGATATTGTTAAGGAAAAAATAATACTGCTACATGAAGTTTCGACATCACAACTTCAAACGTTTCATAAGCCAACAAAAAAATATTATGCCACACCATTGCGAGCCTCCAGATTGCCATCCAAAAGGGATATACATAACATTGTTTCATTGTTTACTCTCCATAGTTAAAACAAAACCCTTTTTTTGATAAAAAGGCATTCCAATGCAGGTTTCAGTCACTGATTTTAAATTATCCACATTCATCGATGCCCTTAAAACAATTATTTCCGCAGCAAATTGTCGCAATGAGCAATATGTTTAGGTCATAAATATATGCAAAAAAGTGCACAGGATATTATTTTAGAATCCATTCATTTACTAAATTTAACTGAAGAAAGATTAGTGGAAATCGAAATGGAGACTAGAGGACAAAGTTCCAATCCAAAGTGGCATGAGTATCGACAAACCCGCATTACATCAAGTATATTTCACACTGTGTAAACCAAATACTAAATAAAAATCTAGTACAAACAAGAGCGATGACAAATGGGATGATTAATGAAAAAGTAGCCATTAAAAATATATGGAGATTTATGGGGTGGTTGTTGAAGAGTGTGGATTGTTTTTGTCTCAGGAACGACCTCATCTAGGAGCATCTCCAGATGGTATACTAGGATCAGAAAGAATAATTGAAGTAAAATGTCCTTATGCTTCCAGAAATCAAGAAATCAGTCCTCTTACAGTACCTTATCTACAATTGGCTGCCTACAAAGAAGCGATTTCCGACCTGTCAGATCAAGACTGGCAAAAGTGTTTTCGGAGTTGTTTTAGGCGAATGGAACTTTGTATGGAGCATGATGGAGAATATTTTGAAAAGATGTAAAATATATATTAATAGTATCTAGAATACTTTTTGTACATCTCAAAAATGTCCCACGTATAACCACTCTGTAATAGTTATTGTGGAAGATATTCTTCCATACACTCTAAAAAGGCATCAATCGAATTGATGAAGTAAAGAAACTTCTTAAAGTTGTCAATATTTGTCGCAAAAATCGTTCGTTCGATTTTCCGAAATCAGAAATATCCAAAAACAAAATTTTTATATATACAGCCCATTAAAGTTCGCTGCTGAATATAAGCCTGCCCTTAGATTGCCTCATAGGGGAGATATTTGCCATAGTTACCACGCTTGCAACCGCAGTTTTTTTATTTTTAGTCATTATTAGGAAGATGCTGCTACCCATCTAATTTGTTTTCCTCTGTCGCCACTTACGATAACCACAGGATGATATTATAGTGGATATTCTTACACCATCACTAAACGCTAATTAAGAATTATTTTTATTGCTTTATAAAGTTTCAAGAATATTTTATTTTTATAAATTACAGATGCTATGGGTACAATTACTTCAGAACAGGATAAAGTCGAGTCTATCAGATTGTGGACAGGTAGACAGACGAGAGTCCTACATTCTATAGTCAATTGTGCCATAGCTTTGAAGGTATGCCAGTTTTCAATCGAAGCAGCCTAATGGATAGTGTTTAGAAAAAAATTGGATTGCACTGTCTGATGTATGATTTTACGTATTTTTTTAATTTATTTGCATCAGCAAACAGATGACAGAATGACATATTCAATACATGTAAATAACATTGAAGTTTCTAGAGGTTACCGAATTCAAAAAAATTATAAGGTCAGTGTAATGGTAATTTATGAGGTCAGTGCTAAGACATAATGTATATAAGAATTAATATCCGATCTAGCCCTGACATCGGAAACTAATATGTATAAATTATTTTATTCCTTTAGTAAATTTAAGTCGGCTTTTCTTTTTTACTCTGTCGAGTAGACTAAGGAATAATTTTACTCTATTGAGGAGATTAAACTAAAGGACGCCAAGTTAACACTAGAAAGGGGTAAGTAATATATCTTCGAATAGAAAAATATGTATTATATAAAATAGCTTTCGTTTGATATACATTTATTCTTTTTCATAATGTAAAGATAATTGATCAAAATAGCATTTTCATTGGTGTCGACAGGGTTCTAACCCGGGTTGCTCGCGGTTGAGACGAGCACTTTGCCCTTGAGCTACCGTGGTTCATATCTTTTTTGTTTCTATCTTATATTAACGTTACCTCCACACTAAGAATGTTTCCTAGATTTTTCGTGGAGGCAGTTAATATAAGAAAATAAACTTCGCAAGGAGAAACATCCAGACCCGGAACAATTATTTGTATGAATACAAATTTATCGGGAATCGAACCGTCGATCCTTAGAGTTAATTAACTCTAAATTACTCATTGCTAAGCCACTCCGCCACGAAGCTGTCCAATATATTTTATAGTGATAAGACATTTTAGTTATAAATTGCTTACCATAGAATACTTATAATATATACATAATAGAACGAGGGAGTGGGTGGAGCCCGTGTAGCCACGAACATGTCAATTCACACGTATAAATGTCAACACTAGATGTGTTTTGACATTACAATCTTTACCAAATTTAGCATGCAAATTATTTAGAAAATGCCAAATTGCACATTATTTACAGATAAATATGTATTAAAATTTAAACGTTTTTTAATGATGATCTTAAACATTAATCAAAAGTCTAAAATGTGTAAATTTATTCAGTCTGTCAACACAGCGAATCGGGTTTGTAGTAGTAATAATACGACGTATTTGTTTGTATGTGTAGTCTCGGTGCCGCCGATCCTTGTACAAAATAAGGTTCACAGACATTCTATTGTGTATTTTAGTATTCCATTGTAAATTAATTAAATCAACTAACTTTTGAAATAAACTTCTCATCCTTAAAAAACCGACAACATAGCTGCATACGCACATGTGTCGGCCTGAAGGGTATAGAAAGCCAATACTATAATTACAGGCTGGGAGGCAATCTATCTTAGTCTTTAGAGGTGACAACGTATCTGTAGCTTCATTTGTTCGAAGTTGCAGTAGCCTCTTATTGTCAGGTCAACTGTAAGTTCGTTTATTTTTATAATAAAAAGCTAGTTAATAACAATATTAACTTACTATAAGTTAATAATAGTGAGGTAATAAAACTAAGTTAGTTTGGTACTTGTTGGGCCTTGTCATATTTCGTGTAATGTTTTATGTAACCATGCTAAGCATTTCTAGAGAAAAGTATCCCATATCACTCTCTGGCATATTACATATGCCTATGCAAAAATCTTTCGCTTTATTTCTTAATATTACTATAATATATCTATTGTTTATTTTTACGTAGTTCTTTTACGTGGTAGAGCCATGCTGCAGCTATATTACTAGTACAGTTGTAGCACGAATGGGTCGGCTCGATCGGGGAAGGACTATGCTCTCACATAATATTAGCATAAATAGCAGCTTAATGCTACTGTGTTTCGGTTTGTAAGTGTAAAGAAGCAGAGACCCCTTTAACTGGAAACGAGGCATTCCATCTTAGTCCTCAGGGGTGACAACGCATGTGTAACTATTTACCATCAGGTGGACTGAGTGCTCGTTTGCCACATTTATACTATAAAATGAATCATTTCTATCCTATACCTTTAAACGAGGGAGCAATTCTTGTATATACATATATATATATATATATATATATATATATATATATATATATATATATATATATATATATATATATGTGTGTGTGTGTGTATTTATGTCGCCGCAAGGACATCTTCTGTTGACGAAGCCTAAACTTTGCATTTTCTTTTAATTGTTATAAATTATAATAATCAAGAGTGTATAATTATTAATATTACAATTTAATAACCGCAATTTATCAGAAACATAACATATAAGTAGCTAGTTCTTTAAAACTCTTTTGGTTTACAAATCTCTTTATTGACAACTAATTCCTATTAAAACAACTACTTATTCGATTATCAACTTTTAACTCAAATATGGTTTTAAATCGTAGAATAATTAGTTAGTGCCCTTGTTTGAAACGATTCTAACTACTTGAATGAAATTTTGTAGAATAGAATAGAATAAAATAGATTTTTACTACTAGGAGGAACTTTATAATTGGATAATTTTTTACTTTCCAAGTTTATATAGGTAATAGGCAACCCTGAGAAATACTTTTCTTACGCCAAGTGAAATAGTCAGCCAGATTCTTATTAGTTTTATACAATAAAAACTTAGTTTTGCTATACAAATATCTTTATCTGTTCTGTTTAGTAACTTACCGAGTTCATCTAAAGTTATTAAAATTCCGACGTTAACAATATAACTTTGTTGAATATCAGTTAAGACTCCAGGCAATGTTTTGATATCAATTGCTAAACTTGCAGAAATACTTAAGGCTTACAAGCGAGTGAGTTAACACACGAGAGATGAAGGGAACTCCCGAAAGAATATTAATGGTTCCATAAAAACAATATAATTTGATTGAGAAGAGTTTACGGAAATAGATGACTTGGATAATTGTCATAAATTTAAAGCATAAATAATGGGCTATAGTTGATAAATGTCACAAAAGGCTTAGAGTCAAAATTTGCGCTTAAATGCCAATTATGTAACCAAAAATTTGTAATAGTAAACGATGATTGTAGTGAAAATTATTTATCATTAAATGAATGTGTAGTCGCAGGTATGATTGAAATACGCGCGGGAAATTAGTAACTAAACAAGCTTCAGACTAAATAAAGTTTCCTAAAATAGACGTAGATAAAGAAATTGCAAAAAAATTACTAAAAAATGTTTTTCATGTATATATATATATATATATATATATATATATATATATATATATATATATATATATATATATATATATATATATGATATGTGTTATAGTTTATAATTTAGGAGTTAAAAAATGTAATTAATTTCTTACATTCAAGATAATAAAATTGACTTTGTATTTTATGTTCTATTTTTAATAACCACCATATACATATTGTATGGGGATATCTATTTATTTTATTATTTTTTATCTACCCAGTAAGTAAATATTAAAATAATAAATGTAGCATTATAAACAGTAAATCTCCCTCAAACTCAATTTACTAATATTTTTCCTAAATAAGGAATAGCAGATAAAAGATTAGTAGGTATAATAACATATCCTAAAATTCAGTAGCTAAATAAAATAATAATACCTACTATATTTTTAATATGTAGGTAAATGAAAATAACAAAAATGAAGCACCATTAGCATGTAAAGTTCG